CGGGCACTTGGTGCGGAGCCATGGCCCGCAGCGCCGGGAACGGTGATCGCCCGCGCCCCGCGCCGCACTGGCCCGCGACGGCCGGGACAGCGCGCTGGCCGCTCACGTCTTCCGGCCCACAGAGGCCCCGCCCCATTTATAGCAGTTCATTTGCATCTCAATGCGCCGATTGGCTGTGTGGATTCGGAGCTGCCAGCGGCGAGGCGCGCCTTGGCCAATGGGAGCGCCGCGCTTTGTCCAGCCCTGGCCGGCCGGCAGCTGGCGGGGCGGAGCCCTGGGCCAGGCCTTGGTGACCCCGGGGGGAGCCACAAGGGGGCGGTGACCCGGGGCTGCGCCCTCGAGCGCTGTTTCCCTCCCCCCGCTGCGCGAGGACCCGGCTCTGCCGAGCGTGCGACAGGGGCTCTCCGTGCGTCTCTCTGCGCGGGCATCCTTGCGTCGCCCCGCGCTCCCAGTCTTTTTCTAGTCAGCCCTAGCCCAGGTCAAGGCCGTGGTCCCCCGGCCCGGGGCGGGCCAAGGGGGCGCGAAGCCCGGGGAGGTGGGGGTCAGTTGGGCAGTGGGGCTGGGTTAGGTTAGGGTGAGGGCTCGCATGGCCACCTGCAGCCCCCCATTAGCGCAGAATTGGCGCAGACACTACTGTGCTTTTCTGGGCTCTCCCTTGCTCCCCGCATCTTTTCCTGGCTCCCTCCCAATACCCATCCGATGCCCATTCTTCCCTGCCAACACCCCACCCCCTCTGAGCACCTCTATTTCTCCATCCCCTTGACTCCGCCCCCTGCCGCCTTTCCTTGCCCCCCCGCCCATTCCTCCTGGGGGGGCATGTCCCCGCCCCCCAAGTCCCCTCTGTGGCCCCCGCCCCCGCCCGGCCGTGGAGCTGCCGTCTGGCCCGCGTAACTTGATGCCCCTGACAGTTGGCAGCTGCAGCCGCGCCAAGAGCGACAGGTGCTGGCCGCGCCTTTGTCTAGCCCGCTTTGTGCGGGCGGCGGCGGGCACGCTTGTGTCTCCAGATGCCCGCGACCCCAGGCCTGGCCGCCCATCTGCCGGCCCCGCCTCACCGCGGGGTGCGTGGGCGGGGGTGGGGTGGGGACCCTAACCCCCTTCGCCAGGCCTGAATCTCTGCCTCGCCTGGAAGGCTGGTGGCCACGGCGTCTTCTTGCCTGGGCCCTGGCACACACCCAGCCTTCCCAGAACCCCTCCGTTTCCCTAGGGGACTGTGCTGATCCCCCCTACCCGTCTTTACAGGGTCCGTACTACTCTATTGAGTTGGGATTGTTGGGGTCTGCTATGAACCCCTCTACATTTTTTTGAGAGTCTCGTCTAGGACACCCCTGACCCCAAGGAAGGGCTGTGTGTGGGAAGGGCTGTGTGAGGGGGGTGGCCCTAGCCCTGGGAGAGGGGAACACCCGGGAGGAGCCATGGCAGGGTGGCAGGACTGGACAGAAGACCCCCACCTTCCCAAAGATGGGTCTGGAGGACCTCGGGCTCCGGGTGGATGAACTGGGTGAGAGTCACCTCTCCAGCCTCTTGGGGGCACCCTCGGGCTTCCTGCCACACCCACCTGTTCCCACTCTGCTTCTGGCTTAACCTGTGTGTTCACCAGGAATCCCCTAGCCTGTCACCCCGCACCCCCCTGTTGCCCTAGTCTCCCGGCAAGCTCAGGAGCTTGGCTGACTTCCACCCACCCTCTAGGGCTGCTCAGAGGCTCCCCTGGGGTGAAGGCTGACAGGGTGAGCCCTGGCG